GCGGGGGGGGGGGACATCTCTTGGGTTTTACCAATCTGTATTATTTAACCCTTTACTTTCTTGTCTGCCACGTTCTCATTCTCTTTACGAAATATATTGTATCTCCCTCGATAATAATAACAATTTATTAACAAACCCAAGCCGTCATTTGCAATATGTCAAAGTATCCAGACGCGCATCCACGTCACGAACATATGATTTGAGTTTTCATAATAATAATAATAACAACAATATTGAATTCTAGAACGGGGATAAGTTCGTATGAAAATTTTGAGCTTTCCCTGTAAATATATGAAATTTGTTCCTCGATCTGAAATATGAATTGTGTTTTCCCTTTGCTATTTCATCTTTTCAACCAACAGAAATAGCATCGGATGTACAAAGTTTGGAAAATTTTCAGGATTTATCTGAAATTGACAATCACCAAACACTGAAACGATGAAAATCTCTGTAAAAACCGCCTTCGCTCAAGATAGTCTCAGCAATGTGCTTGTTTGTACGAAATGGCTAACAATACGGAGAACGAATATGTCGCGAGCGATTCTCGAGGTTATGAAATAAAAATTCTTTTTCTTTATTCCGTTTGACGATGCACTCTAATCGTATTTGCTTAACCTACTTGCACGGCATTTATGCTTTATTCGAATAAACTCCTTCTTGGCCGAGGGACAGTGAGCTGAACTCTGAAGTGACAGCCATTTTAATTTTCACTACGTTGCGACAAGACTCTCAGCAAACTTCATGCCGGATGTGTTTAACTGTGTATCTGCCTTTATGTACACCCAGTACGTATACGTATGGAGTGCGTATATATGGAAAGTTACTCGAAGTACTGGTACGCCGTGCTTACATAATGAGTGTATATTATAAATAAGTATTCGACGGTGAAGATTTTCAAGATGGCTTTTGATTGGCTGCTGCAACTAAGTGCAATGAGAACAGGAAAATATGAAAGGAATCATTTTTATAACGAGACTCGGCTGTAACTTTTTATTACGGCGACTTTAGTGGGAAAAATAAAAAAAAAAAACTTACAAGTAAGTTGTAGGAACATCTCGGTTAGTTCGAAATTGACGAGTAACTTCTTGCGCTTCGATTAACATCCCTATGCAGCAGAAAGATTTAAGAACACCTCGATCACTATGTGTACGCCATCTTGATTTCTTTTCAAATTCATGATATTAAAGTTGGCTGATCTTTTTTACTTTTGTATCTACTTCGTCTAGTTGCGTCAACGCTCTGAAGTACGCCGATGAAGAAGTCGTTCGGGCTTCATTTTTATTCGGCATAATAGACAAGTATGCATACAATTTGATTTGGCTTATAGGTAAATGGAACTTTTGCACTTCCGAGTGATCCGTGTCAGATTCTATGAAATTGGAGTCTTGCGAATTATTCGTGGCATCGTCAGAAATTGAATTTTTATGGAAAATCGTGATTGATCGATCGATCGATGGTTGAATATTAGATGTTAGTGACAACGTGTTGAATAACCACCGAAATATACGTCTCGTGAAATATTAATAGACAGGGTTGAGTTCACGAAAAACGTACCGGCTGAGGTTAGCTTGTACATTTGATTTCTATGGACAGAACCACCTTCAGATGATAGGTTTCTAGTGAGTACAATTCTATGTAGGAGAGCGAGGGAGTACGAGGAATAAGGAAAATAAATTTTCATATAAAAATTCGTATATCGTTCGTATGTGATAAAAAGAGAGGAGTGCGAGGAAGATAGGAAAATTTCAAATCTGCACGGGGCTTAGTAATTGAAATTTTTTTTGAATTCTCAATATTCAATTTTTATTTATTGCTAATGCGTATCACGCATTCCATGACGTAAATTTTACGTGTATACGCTACCAGGAAGCATAGTACTACTTTTCGTGTATAACAAGAAATTTGGATTTTTCCATTGAATTTACTTTATACCAAACGATATAACGATATTGTATAATCATCACGTGAAACGTACCATCTGTTAGTTGACAAGATAAAGGGCTTTTTGAATTTCGTAAATTACTCTGGGATATATTATCTGTGGGCTCAGGGAATGGCACAGGCATTCGTATACAAGGTATATTTGTGGATTTTATATTTATTCAATTTATTTATATAAGAAACTTTGTCTTGTATTGGACGGTTCTATTTCATGGTTTTTTTTTTCGCAATTCCTAATCTCATTTGATGGTGAAATCTCGAATACCCACGGGATAAGGAAGCTTCGATAAATTGACTTTAAACTTTTTTAAATATTCGTCATCGGCAAATCTCAACTTTCCCACAGTCCTTCGCTACTTGAATACAGATGCCGTATATGTTAACGTATAGAGTTTAGTAAGTTTGGTCGGAGCTGATAGGAGTCTGTTGTAAATCAATGAAGGTTTTGTAATGTCAGACGGACGTTTTGAATTTTCCCAAAATATCCATAATAGTTCCGTTAACGACGTTTGACAGAACCACTATAAGGAAAGGCTGACGTTTACGAGTTTTCGTGGTACTCTTTTTTTTTTTTAATTTTAAACCCACCAGACGAGCCTGCTGCTTTGGAATTTTAATAAGCCACGTGGCCATTGCCGATGCAAATTTCTGATTGCATTTGGCAGCACAGAATTGGCGTTACGAGCGTCATTTTATCTCTGGGTCATTTTCCTTTTTCCCAACCAGTGCTACCACCCTCTATTTTATTTGCCTCAACTTCTTTTTTTTTTTACTCACCGCTCATTGGCACCTACTTCAAGCGGCGGTGGTGCCAACGGGAAGGCGAGCTTAGCCTGATATTTTTGATTATTCTAGCCCTCGTTCTAAATGAACGAGACTCGTACCGTATTAACGCACCGCACCCTAAAACCATCATCCCTCCGATACCCATCTCCTGGCCCAGAAGGGATTTCTGTACCTATTTGCTCGAGATCGTCAAACTATTTATTTAACAGATTATACGCGACAATACCCCAAGAGACTCATGGGTAATTCCCAAACGAATTACTCAGTCATTCGCTAATGGCATTTACGTGCTAATTTTACGAATTCTTTTGAGGTTATGGTACTCGGTAGAATTTTTCTCAATGACACTTGCTAGTCATCCGGAGTTTTTTCTCTCTTTATTATTGCTTTTTAAATTATTATTATTTCACTTAAAACCACGTCTTATTTATATTCTGTACCGGATGGCTTTATCTATATATTACACGATTAAAGTATGGTATTGTGTTTGAGTGCTTGCGCCATGTCATTCCCTAATAATTTTCATGGCGGATTACTCGCGTGATACCTTCACTCGTTTTAAATAAATCCTGTTATCGGTCACACGATTCTTTCAAGTGTCAATTGTGCTTCTCTTTAAGTGGTATCGGTCTTTTGGAAGTTCTTGATTAATTAAATTTCGTACGGACTCCTGACCTTTTTGAAATTTTTTTGTTTAAGATCGAACTTTATTTCGCTAATTTGCCTTATCCACTCGTTCTCTTAGCTGGGGATGAAAATGGCAGAGGCTCAGTGTCGAGGGTGCAAATATTAATTAACATCCATTTGTCTTATGCCTCTCGAGGATTTACGTGCTATTCGAAAATTCAACGGCACATTGATTAATAGATTTTCTCGTTTTTAAGTAATGATTTAAGAAATGACAGGCTTAATGGAATTTTTATTTTTAACATATACGCTTTTGGTTGTCAATTGTAATTTATATATAGGTATGTCTGGTTGGTAGGTGAATGCTATTTTTTGTAAATAATTAAACCGTATCGTATGTCACTATTGAAATTTCACTTGAAAGGTATTTTGATATGAATTACGTCTGGCGATCTATAGTCTTGTGAACAATTACCTATATATTTGGGGGGGGGGGGGGGGT